CAGAGCCTCAAGGTCTCATCAGAGACAGATGTGAAATATAACTACCAGCCTCCTGAAGTAAGTTCATCAGCTCAGAAAAGAACAAACGAGACTTGACAACATTCTTGTCAAGAGAATTGATAGGAAAGGCCAGGGCTTTGCCACATGAGTACACACTGATTGTTGCTCGGGGCTTAGAGAATGACGAGTGAGCGGAGGCTCTTCGCTGGGAACGTTAGCCATGAACACTCAGAGAAAGAAAAGGGTGATTAGAGCGAAAAGTTGTGAACTCTCAGATGCCATTGTACCTGAGAACAAACTAACTTTTTTCTCCCTGAGTTTTTGGAAGCCGAGCTAAAAAGAAGAAAAAGAAAAGGAAAAACCTGCACATTTTTTTTTCTTTTCATTTGTGATAATGTTTCAATGCCAAAGAGAAAATGTGATGAAAATGCCAAAGAAAAGAACTGTGGAATCTATAGCATTCATTGTGTTTATATAGAGATTATGCTTCTGGTTAACAGCCTCCAGAAGGTAAGCAAGTGCTAGATCTATGCATTTAAAATAGAAGAGAGCGGGCACAGTTCCCACTTTTTTAGTAGAGCAAAATGATTTGGGGGCTGAATATAATTTCCTTTTCCATATAATAAAAACTTTATAAGAACTTACTCTCTAACTCAGAGTTCCTGTATTTTTTTTTCTTTGCTTTCTAAAATGTCTTCATGACAAAAAGCCATGTCCACACAGTTTTGATATTTCCCAACCTGAAACTGTGAGGCAATTAGACTTGCAAAGGATTAGCAGTCACATATTCTTGCTCTTGTCTTTATCTGCTCTGATTACGGTCAAAGTTACTCCCAACCTCTACTCTACCCCCATACCACACGTGTACATATCGGAACACACACACATACACACACACACACACACACACACACACACACACACTACGTCAGGCTGGACCCTAAGTTTATCCTCAGTGTATTCAGAGCAAAATAGAATACGTTCCATTTCTCAGAGCTGCAAATAAATCAGGTTGAGAAACGCAGAGGAAATGCAGATATGAATAAATTATTCCAAATGACTCTATTTACAATATCGCCAATATTACTGCATCAAGAAGGTGCAAAGTGTATTGGTTACATGAATGATAGCACAGGCAATAGCCTACTATCGAGACCATTAATAATGAGGTCTTGGAAGAATATGTAAAGACTCTCAAAGATGTCTGTGATATATTGTTGGCTGAATAAACCAGACTACAAAACAACGCTTACAGTTTAGTCCCAATTTTGAAATGACAAAATAGGATCATTTGACTACCAGTCTAGTCTGCATTTAATAGCAAAGAAAAAAAAATAGTCTAACCTGAAGCCCTAGAATGTATTTTGGGAAAAAAAAAGAAGAAAAAATTGAAAGGAAAACATTTCAGAAAATGTTGGGTTTCTTCCCCCTCGGAACGGTAGAATTTTCTCTTGTTTACTTATCTAGTAAACTACACAAAGACAAATGACAAACAAGAAGATGACCTGCCTTTTTCCGAAATCAGTGAGTTTGAGGAGTTTTGAAAAATAGCCTCACAAATAAGGTATCAGTGGCTATTTTTTAATTGAGCTATCTTTCAATGAAGAGAAATTGCTTACTGATCTCTCAACCTTAAATAGTAAAATGATGAAATACATAACCTAGCCGGAGTCCCATTAATCACCATCAGTGGGACTGTGAAAATTGCACCTGAGAATGTAGAACTTTCTGTAATTTGGAGCTGTGAGTAAAAGGGAGGGAAAATAGGAGGCAAACAAAAATTAGTAAAAAAAAAAAAAAAAAAAAAAAATTTATCTCCTTATAATCTCTCTTCCATGGTTCTGCTTCTCCATGGATATTTTTAAATAAAATTGTTTCAAAATTACATGAAACACAAAATGTAAAGGTAAATCATTTATGGCTCATAATGTTTCTCCTTTCATCTGGTTCTGTAGGTAGGCTGGGTCTTATCCACTCTGCTTTTCCAGGAAGATCACTGACCGCTCAGAACTAAAAATGATTAATATCGCTATATAGCGGGAAGGAAACATTATCTGAAACTCAGTTTTCCATTTTTTTTTCCCTTGATAAATTTGAGTCTGAATTTAAGTTAGTTCTTATGCTTATTTAGTATTCTGTGGGCATTAAAAGCCAACTCTATGATAACAATAGAGCATCAAAACAACAAGAATAATCAAAGCTGCCATGTACTGAGACTTTACTGGGCTAAATACTTTATATGGCTTATAAATACATATATGTATGTATATAATCTTCACAGTATTTCTTTTAAAAAAAAAATATTTGTTTATTTGACAGAGAGAGAGACAGTGAGAGAGAGCACACAAGCAAGGGGGAGGGACAGAGGGAGAAAAAAACTCCCTGCCGAGCAGGAAGCCCAATGTGGGGCTCAATCCTAGAACCCTGGGATCATGACCTGAGCCGAAGGCAGAGGCTTAACCCACTGAGCCACCCAGGCACCTCTAATCCTCACAGTATTTCTGAGGTACTCTTATCCCTACAGTAAGCATTTTGAAAAGACCCAAAAACTTGAAATTCAGACTCATCCCAATTCACCCAAGCCCAACCAACAACCCAGCACTGGAACCAGAATCAGAAATGCAGGTTTTACACATTTCACAGCGCTTGCAGTAGCATATGCCCTCCCCAGTGTCCATCACCCAGCCTCCCATCCCTCCCACCATCACAGACCTGTATCCTTGAAACAAATAATACATTATATGCTAATTTTAAAAAAGATTAATATGATAATAGATTTTTAAAATAACTTTACTGAGCTGCAATTCATATACCAGAAAATTCGTCTTTTTAAAGCATATAGTTTGGTAGTAAGACTGTGCACAGAGTGTGCAGCCATCCCCACGATCAATTTTAGAACATTTTTGTCACTCCAAAAAAAGCGTGTCCCCATTAGCAGTTACTCCCCACCTTCCTCCCCCAGCCCTTGAAAACCTCTAACCCTGGTTTCTGTCTCTATAGATTTCTGGTAATTTCTGGTAAATTCTGGTAATTTCATAAAAATGGAAGCAAACACTGAAAAAAAAGAAAAGAAAAGAAAGTGCAGATTTGTCCAATTCATAATCCGTGCACCAAATACTGATTTTATACCTCACTTCTGGCTAGTTCTTTAAACACAGATATTTGGTCAGTCACTAACCCATCAAAATGTTTTTTGTTTGTTTGTTCCAAGATTTTATTTATTTATTTGGGAAAGAGAGTGAGCATGAGTGGCCAGAGGGACAGGGAGACTCTCCGCAGAGCGTGGACAGACTTGGGCTCGATCCCAGGACCCTGAGATCACGACCTGAGCTGAAGTCAGATGCTTAACTCATTGAGCCAGAGCCACTCAGGCGTCCCACCAAAGTGTTTCTTAAGTTTAATTAATGTTTCTTCCTTGATGGGAAGACGAAGTTACACAGAGGGCGCAACTGAATGCACATTCAAATTACAACAGGCCTAAAACCACAAGTAAATGGGAGGAGGTCAGAGGGCTCGTGACCCCGTCTCTCTGGTCCTAATCCGTCCTAAATAGGTTCAGGTGAGAACGAGAGTCCGGCCTTAGAAATAAAGCACAAGCCCCAGTGGTTCTGAGAGTCTAATTAGCTCTTTTAATTGTGCATCTCTTTAAATACATTTGTATTTAAGGTGGAGAAATAGGGATACAGCTATTTATGCTTTGGGAGAAAGGAAAGGAGAAGAAAAGTAAAGATGAGGGGGGGCAAAGAAAAGAAGAGACAGAGATTCAGACATTATTTTTTCCCTCTGCTTACAGCATCTAATTCATTAATCTAAAGTTTCTGAGATATGATCAGTTCTTTAAAAAACTCGGATTGTCAAAAGTACAAAATAAAGCAACACTGTTGTAACAAAACGAGTCAGAAAATGAGGGAAAAAATGACATCTTTCAAGATCAACTGTTCCACCGAGTACGGAACAAGCTGGCAGTGTGCTGAACATCATACATTAACTAGCACATAGGCACAAAAAAAAAAAAAAAATCTGACAGTCAATGCATACCAGAGTTAGGAGGAAAAAGAACCAGTCCTCCCTGGGGACGGATGTGTTGTGATATCTCTGATGAGAGGGGTTTCTTAACCAATCCAAAGGTCTTCTACTTTATTGTGTCTATCATGAAACAAATTTTTGTGCGTCTCTCTTAGAATCCACAGCCACGACAAAAAAAAAAAAAAAAAAAAAAAAAAAAATCACATAGAAGAGGATGAACATGAGTTTGAGATATCCAGAAAGCCTGAAAGTGCAAATCACTTCCTCCATTTATGGGTACTTGAATGAATGAATCAGTAGTGGGTATTATAGACCGGGGTGTCAGGTGGGGTGGAGGAGAGGCTTAGAAACCAGATAAAACTTAATGAAAATGATTACTTATGTGATGTTTATTCAAAAAGCCATCTCTTATTTCTTCCCAACTAGAAAGTCTTTCTTGGCATTAATTCACTTTTTGGTGTGTTTTCAATGAATCTGTGTTAGTCATCTAGTAAACATTAAACATTTTAATACATATTAAAGCACCAGAGATGTCAAACTAAATTTAGATTTTACCTCTAAGGGACTCAGCCAAGTTAATTTGGGGGGAGGGGGGAAACATTGATTAATCTTGTAAGAGAAAGGTGTCTTAGAAATTTGGGGTCAATAACCACTGAATGAGAGTCAAGAAAAAAAGAGTGAAGAATGCAGTGGGAGCTGGCGAACCTTGGAACAGAAGGAAAGGGAAGGGAAGAATAAGGCATGAGAAATAGAACTATGCAGAGGAACAGGAGGGACTCGGCATGGACAGAATTTATTAAGAGAGGATCACGTACTGGAAACTGACACAGGGAGCCTTCAGGAGGGAACACAAAAGGCATGGTGAATATGTTCAAAGAAACTAAGGAGAAAGAAAAGGGTGAAAGGAGTGAAAAAGGAAAAGTTGAAGAAAAAGGAATACTGACTGGAAATGAGGTAAAAAAAGACAAAAGCATCCTACCAAGAAGTCGAACTGGCAAGGTTCTTGGCTCTTCTTCTTGAGGCAAACTGCAGAGAAATATAGAGGGAATTCAATTTAGGGAGGAGATTTTGAAAAGCCTTGTGGAGAGCAGAGGCGGGTGGGAGGGTGGGGTAGCTGTATTAATTGCTTTATCTGAAGTGGTGGCTGGGTCTGGGTCTGGAGTAAAGGCAACCCAACACAGCTATGGGAAGATAAAGCAGACTTGTTAGCATTCGTTCTTGCTTTTCTTCCACCATTGCCTTGGGATAAGGAGAACTTGTTTCTACAGTAACAATTCGGACCTCTAGTACTATTGTAAACGTGAGGAGGAGAAAAACCAGGAAGAATGAGTCCTATGTTGTGGAGGAGTTCAGAGAATAAAGGGAAAGACTGGACTAGGGCAGTTCCTTCCCCACTGTGTCTTCTTCAGATCCCCAGGGCTGAGAGGTGCCCCTTAACAAGTCTGCTTCTCTAATGGTGCTTCTGCCTCATATAGCTAAGGATGGAGCAAGCCCTAACCTGAGTGGTTCTGTGGGGTAAGGGCTGATTGAAAGTCACATTCAAAGGCCAGATTCTCCCCTGGGGCACATTCAACACCTCCCTGACTCTGCTCATCTAGTTGAAAAGAAGCCCCCAGCTTCCTACGCATACATTGTCTGCAGAGTGGACAATGAGCCCAGGAGGAAAGGGGGTTAAAGATCTTAAAAACTAAGACATTTGAGGGAACAACTGTTTTGAAATAAAAACCATAAACTGGATTAGATAGTTTTGTTTTTTGACTTTTCTTGACAAAGTCTAAAACTAGAACAGGTGCACCAGAATTTAAAATGAGCAATTTATTTTTCTTTTTAGTTAATTAATTAATTTACTTACTCATTTGACAGAGAGAGAGATCACAAGTAGGCAGAGAGGCAGGCAGGGGGTGGGGTGGGGGGGGAGCAGGCTCCCTGCTGAGCAGAGAGCCTGATGCAGGGCTTGATCCCAGGACCCTGAGATCATGACCCGAGTGAAAGACAGAGGTTTAACCCACTGTGCCACCCAGGTGTCCCTATAATGAGCAGTTTAAAGACAAAATTGTAGATTCTCCTACAAGAAAAAAAAGTGAAGGAAAAAGAAACAGATAATGTGTAAACAATACTAAGAGAAAAAAGATTAACAAAAGTGCTATCATCCAGAAGATAGGACATTCAGAAAGAAAGAATATAAAAGTGGAGAGAAGGAAATATTTGAAAAAATAATAAATCCCTCATGATTAAAAAAAAAAGATGAAAAACAGATTTAATGGTTCCATAAAATGCCAGAGCATGAATATTAAAAAAAAAAACAAACAACTCCCATGTAAAATAGAGGAAATTTAAGACTATTAATGACAAAACTTAGAATTACCTTAATAATTTCAAAATGACAGAGCATAGTATATACAAAGAAATCAGAACGGTGGATACAAGAAGACAATGGGGTATATTTTGAAATACTGAGAATAAGGAATTTGAACCAAGAATTTTGTATCTGGCCAGACTATGATTCAAATATAGAGTAATGATTAAAAAAATATTCCCAGCCATAGACACCTTCAAAATTTTACCACATAAATACACACTTGTAAGACAGTCTTGAATTAAGTCCTTAAGAAAGAGGAAACATAAATACAAATGCTGTATGAGATGTAAGAAGCAGAAGTTACTAAACATCTAGTCGATGTTTGTTGTGATCTTTTCAAAGTAGCTAAGACCAAGGGAAAGAAAAAGTAGGAAATACAGGCATTAAAAACCCCAAATTAAAAAACAATTATTAGCACTATGGGACTGGAAAGAAGACCAAGCTAGGAGCTTTCTCAAATTTTTTCTTATTATTGGAAAGTTACAGATTTTAATTTTTTAAAAATAAGAGAATGGAGAGATTTTAAAGAAATAAAGTGATCACTTCCTCTAAAACTCAACTAGGTAAGGCAAAGTGATGCTCATGTTGAGAACTATGTGGACGATGTAGATTTTAAATCTGCTAAACGATACTGCCGAGCTGAACAGGCAGTTAGAAAGTGCAGGGCCAAGATCTAGAAGAATAAAGAAATACTAGGCACTTGGCAACCATTTTTACTCTGGGAAGCTTCTGTCTACTTGAGAAAAGGAACCTGAGAGGCTGAGAAGCTCAGCAGAGAGAATGAAGTCTGCACAGTCCAGGGCCCACCAAGGAAGGTCAGGTGGCTAATAAAACCCCATCCTTTGAGTTGGGGACCGAAAGATCTTCATTCTAGGTTTGAGCGTGAACAGAAATAGACTAGAGAGCCAAGGGACCAAAGCTCCCAAATAATTTTCAATCCCTACTTGAAATAAGGCAATCCCTATTTAAAAGAAGCATTGATTGTCCTCCTTCCCTCCAGCCAAACGCAAACTCAAACTTCTTTCATGAAAGATACAGGAACCCATGGTCTCTACAATTTTTAAGGATCATATCCGGCACACAGTGTAAATAATCAAAGCTGTGAAATTAGAGGTCAATAAGATCATAAAATGAGAGGAACAACAGAATACAGAAAATCACCCAAAGGGGATCTAGACTATAGCATTATCAGACACAGGATCATTAAAAGGATAAATCTAAAAATATGATCTGTAGAAGGCCATAATAATAACAAATAATAATAACAGACGTGATTAAAATATATAAACCAAATGGACAGAAACAGAAGAGTAGAACAGAATTGTCTCAAGTCCTTATATTTTCTGGGGAAATGTAGAAGTATAAATTTATATTAAACTCTAATAAAGTATGCAGGCTATAAGGAAATTATTGAAAAAAAGGATACTAATTATAAAGGACAACTGGAATAAAAATAAAGCATAGTATGAAAAGAGGAAAATGTAAAAAAAAAAGATGGAAAACAAATAGTAATAACATGACAGATACAAACTCATCAAATCACTGTTAATATTGATAATGGCGATTAAATGTAAATAAACTAAATGCTCCAAACAAAAGAAAGAAATTATCATTTAGAAAAAAAATGAAAAAATTTCTTATTACAGGAGAAAGATTTAAATCTAAAACTATTAAATAAATAAATAAAAATAAATGAATAAATAAAATCCAAAACCAAAGAAACTTTGGAAAGAAAACTCTATATACCCTGAGACCATTAGCCAAAAGAAAACTGGTATAGTTCATTTATTAGTATAAGTAGAGTCTTTAAAGAAAAAATTACGACTACAGGTAAAGTGAAAAACTTGACTGGATGTAATAACTCTAAACTTATTTGCACTTAATGTAAATGTGTAAATGTGCTATCAAATCAGAATTCCATAAAATGTGAAATGTGTAAATTCATAATCTCAATGGGAGATTTTAAAATACATTTATCAGTAACTGTAGCTATAAGCAGACAAAAGAAATCAGACCAGAGGCAAAATATATGAACAACATAACTAACAAAATTTACCCAATCAACTAAATAAAACACTGCACTTAACCACTACAAAATGCACTTTTTTTCCAAGAACAAGTGTACCATTTCCCAAAATTAACCACCTACTGGTCCATAAATCAAGTCTCAACAATATTAAAAAATGAAATTATGGGAGGCACCTGGGTGGCTCAGTGGGTTAAAGCCTCTGCCTTAGGCTTGGATCGTGATCCCAGGGTCCTGGGATTAAGCCCTGCGTAGGGCTTTCTGCTCAGCAGGGAGCCTGCTTCCCTTCCTCTCTTTCTGCCTGCCTCTCTGCCTACTTGTGATCTCTGTATGTCAAATAAATAAATAAAATTTTTAAAAAATGAAATTATGCACATTATATTCTCTTCACAGTAGTCCAAACTTAGAAATCAGTATCCAAAAGATTAGAAAATCCCCATCTGTTTAGAAGCTATACACTTTTATACAACCAATAAATCAAAAAAGAAATCACACTGGAAATCAGAAAAAAAAAATTTAACTGAATGAAAATGAAAAACTGATAAATCAAATTGTTAAGATAAAATTATAGGGACATCTGGGGGGCTCAGTCAGTTAAACACCTGCCTTCAGCTCCGGTCATGATCTCAGGGACTTGGGATGGAGCCCCGTGTTGAGCTCCCTGCTGAGAGGGAGCCTGTTTCTCCCTCTCTCTCTGCCTCTGCCACTCCCCCCACAAACCCTGCTCATGCTGGCTCAAATCTTTTTAAAAAAATAGAATTATAGCAATATTTGGGGCACCCAGTTGGCTCAGTCAGTGAAGTGTGCGAGTCTTGATCTTGGGGTTGTGAATTCAAGCTCCATATTGGGTGCAGAGATTACATAAAAATAAAATCTTTTTAAAAAAGAATTATAGCAATATTTAAAGGAAAATATAAAGCTGTAGATGTATAGAAATATATTTAAAAAAATTAAAAATATAGGTGCCTGGGTGGCTCAGTCAGTTAAGCTTCTGACTCTTGATCCCAACTCAGGTCTTGATCTCAGGGTCATGAGTTCAAGCTCCACATTGGGCTTCATACTGGGTGTGGAACCTACTTAAAAAATAAAAAAAATTTAAAAAAGTGTTAGATGTATATAAATGTATACAGTTGTTTCTGGAAAACACACCTATCAACTTCATTAAGTTTGCTTCTATTCATTTGCTAGGAGATTCTTAATGGAAGCATTGTTCAATGTTAAAATTTTTCAGCACTTACGTTCACAATAGCTTTTTCACTATGAATCTCTTTATTTTATTAACAAGTTGCTTAATGCTGACCATTTCTTACACTCCTGGGATACACACTAAATATTCAAGATATGATAATTTTTAATGTACAGTTATATTTCACTAGTTGGTGTTTTATTTAAAATTTCTCACATATGAAGCTAGCCTACAAGAATGTTTTCCTTTTGTGTATTTTCTTTTAATAACTATAAACTATCCTTTCACCAGTTGGTGATTAAGAAGATAATGCTCTCTTGGAGGCTTTCTATTTTTTCTCTTTTCTGGAGTAGCTCTAGAGAATTATAAGCTCTTTGAAGAATTATTCAACCTTCTGCTGGCTGCCTTTGGTGACAGTGAGGGGTATCATTATGTATCTACGTCTGGACCCCATA